GATGCAGGAGCCGGCTGACCAGCAAGAACCCTCCCCAGGAGAGGGAGCTTGTGAAACCCTGGCCCAGCTTCAACTGGAGGAGAAGAGAGTGAAGAAAATTAAGGAAAACCAGGAGCGAAATAAGGAGTACGTGAGGTACGGCCGGATCCCCGATCCGTCCGCCGAGCGGGGTGTTACTGGCAAAGGTGAATATTTTATCCCTCGCAGGTACGTCGAAGCTCTAAGAGCCCAGATGAGGGAGAAGATAAAACTATATAATATCGACTTGCCCCCGCTGTGCTCCTGCGGGTCCGATTTCTGGGATTCCCACCCGGATACCTGCGCCAACAACTGCGTCTTCTACAAAAACCACAAAGGTAGGAGCCTCCTGCTTCTGGAGAGGAGAAGCCTGGAGCCTGGAGTATTCAGGGAGAAATCAAACGTGGCTAGACGTTTCCGCGGTCCCGGGCTGTCGTCTTCTAGGGGGGGAAAAAAAGAGAAATTGGGGCTTTATAAAAAAAATCTGGCTTTTCTGCTTGGGCTCGCACACCGCTTCGCGCTCGGGAGCGTGCCAGAAGCACGTGGAAAACTCCAGGCGCGTCGATTTTTCTTAAAAACCAGTTCTTCTCTCTCTTTTTACGCTGAAGCGGAGCCCGGTTTCGGGCCGGCAGTGAAACTCTCGGCTCTTAACGCCGCTTCTGTGTCCCCTTCCCGCTCAGCCTACAGCCGGGCGCTGCGGTCCCTCGTCTCGTCCTGCGACCCCGCGGACCGGAGCCGCTCGGCGAAGCTGCCGCTCCGGGGCCTGGCCGCGCTCTGCGCTCGCTCGGGGAAGCATCTGTGAGGAAGGGTGACTGTAAGTAGAGAGCAGGGCCCTGCCCGCTCCTGCCTGCTCCTGCCTGTCCCTCGATTCCATCCAGGCCGGCGCCTTCGCTCTCCCGCTCCTCGCGCTCCGGTTTAAGCTGCGCCTTTCCCGTTTTGCTCCGGTTTTGCGGTCGGCCGGACCGGGAGCGTCGGAGCGAAGGAGCCGATGGCTCTGCGGGGCTGGGTTAGAGGCAGGCGCTTGAATTTTGCCGTTCGGCTGCGGAATAAACTGTTTTCACGGGTTGTTTGTCTCCCTGGGAGTGTGAAACGAGGAGAAGGTGGGGTCGATATCGCTTAGGGTTAGGGTTCTAACCTTTTCCTTCTCCCCGTTTTCCTATCGCTCCCGCCAGCCCCTGCCTCTCCGGTCACGGACCAGAGCCACGTATTTATTGCTCCTTCGCTTTTTTTCCGGGTGAGGACCTCTCCTCCAGTCCCACCCAACCCAATTTGCGCTCCCACAACTATTTCGCTCCGGAAAGCCAGGGGCGGGGGGGGAAAAAAGCCGAACTCAAATCTCCATTTCGTCTCCAGGTGAGCGGGACTTTGCGCTGCTGCAGCCCCTCGCCCCGCAGCGAGATGGGTTTTTATCAAAAACCGACGCCGGTGGGGTAACGCGTTCCTGGAGGGAGGTTGCACCATAACCCGTCATTAATATTTACTGCTTGCTGGCTGCTCTCCCGCCGCCTCTCCAATATTAACCACGGCAGGAAGGACAGACGGCCGAGCGCACCCGATTATTTCTTTTTTTTCTTTTTTTTTTCCCCCCTTTCCCGGCCACGCTCCGTTACCATCCCGCCGGGCGTGAAGCAAACCCGCGACCCCGGTCCAGAGGTAGCGCCGAGCCGCGGGATGCTCCTCCGCTTCCCCCTGGAGAATCATTCACCCGCTCCGGCGGCGGCGGCCGCTGCTGTTGATTAACCCCGCTTTGCGTCAGGGGAAGGCGCCGCGCACCGAATCAGCGGCGTCGAGGCGGGTTTGTAAAGGGCAGGATCCGGCCCGGGGAGGTTTTTGCGCACGCCGGGGCCAGGGAAGCAAAGGGGTTTGGTTATTTTTTTTTTTTCGAATGGATTATTTTTTTCGTGCGGGGGCAGCTGAGGCCAAGCGTGGCTTTGGCAGGTCCCCAAGCGCTCGCTGACGGCCCCGGGGACCCCGTTTCCACCTCTGCGACGGCCCCGCAAGGGCTTGGGGGCTGCTTTTGGGGGTTATTTTAAAAGGAAGAAGGTTAAATAAAGGCGGCGGTGGTCCCCGATGTCGCGATCTGGCGGTGAAAAGGGGATCCCGTGGGGGCGGGGGGGGGATTCCTGGTGGGAAGGGGGGTTCCTGGTGGGAACTGGGGGACCGGCACCGGGATGGGACCGGCACCGGGCTGGGGCTGGGACCGGGACCGGGATGGGGACCGGCCCTGGGGAACCGGCACCGGGATGGGGACGGGGACCGGGATGGGACCGGCCCTGGGGGACCGGCACCGGGATGGGACCGGCACCGGGCTGGGGCTGGGACCGGGACCGGGATGGGGACCGGCCCTGGGGAACCGGCACCGGGATGGGGACGGGGACCGGGATGGGACCGGCCCTGGGGGACCGGCACCGGGATGGGACCGGCACCGGGCTGGGGCTGGGACCGGGACCGGGATGGGGACCGGCCCTGGGGAACCGGCACCGGGATGGGGACGGGGACCGGGATGGGACCGGCCCTGGGGGACCGGCACCGGGATGGGACCGGCACCGGGCTGGGGCTGGGACCGGGACCGGGATGGGGACCGGCCCTGGGGAACCGGCACCGGGATGGGGACGGGGACCGGGATGGGACCGGCCCTGGGGGACCGGCACCGGGATGGGACCGGCACCGGGCTGGGGCTGGGACCGGGACCGGGATGGGGACCGGCCCTGGGGAACCGGCACCGGGATGGGGACGGGGACCGGGATGGGACCGGCCCTGGGGGACCGGCACCGGGATGGGACCGGCACCGGGCTGGGGCTGGGACCGGGACCGGGATGGGGACCGGCCCTGGGGAACCGGCACCGGGATGGGGACGGGGACCGGGATGGGACCGGCCCTGGGGGACCGGCACCGGGATGGGACCGGCACCGGGCTGGGGCTGGGACCGGGACCGGGATGGGGACCGGCCCTGGGGAACCGGCACCGGGATGGGGACGGGGACCGGGATGGGGACCGGCCCTGGGGGACCGGGACCGGGATGGGGGAACCGGCACTGGGATGGGGACGGGGACCAAGATAGGACCGGCACCGTGCTGGGACCAGGACCGGAATGAGAGAACCGGCACCGGGATGGGGACTGGGACGGGGACCGGCCCTGGGGGACTGGCACCGGGATGGGGACTGGTACCGGGACGGGGTCACTCACCCGGAGACTGACACCGGGATCGGGACCTGCCCTGGCACTGGGTCACTCGCCCGGGGACCGGTACTGGGACGGGGTCACTCGCCCGGAGACTGGCACCGGGATCGCGACCTGCCCTGGCACTGGGTCACTCGCCCGGGGACTGGCACCGGGATGGCGACCGGCCCTGGATCGGGGTCATTTGCCCAGGGACCAGTACCAGGATGGGGACCGGCCCTCGACTGGGGTCACTTGCCCGGTGACTGACACCGGACCGGAGGTCACTTGCCCAGGGACCAGCAGCGGGATGGGGACCCGCACCGGGATAGGGACCGGGATGGGGACTGGCACTGGGATGGAGACCGGTCCTCGACCGGGGTCCCTCGCCTGGGGAGCAGCACCGGGATAGGGACTGGCATCAGGATGGGGACCGGGACCGGGATGGGGTCACTCGCCCAGTGACTGACACCAGACCGGAGGTCACTTGCCCAGGGACCAAAACTGGGGCTGGGAACTGGCTCTGAATCAAAGGTCACTGGCCCAGGGACCAGCATCGCCCCTCGGTCCACGGTGGGACGGGCTCCAGCGCGGCACCGGCACCGAGCCCAGGGCTTTCGGCATCACCCCGGCGCGGGGGACCCCCAAAACGGGCCGCAGCACCCGGCGAGCCTCGAGCCGTCCCTCCGCACGCCCCGGGCCCTCAGAATTTGGCGGGATGCGGCCACCGCCCGTTTCCCTCCCTTTTGGCGCGGGGACGAGCCCGCTGCCCCTTTAATTCCATTTAATAGATTTATTTTTGGGCAGCCTGTTGCCGAACACTCCCTGTGCTTTTCCAGTTCCCTGCCAGAACACGTGGGGCCAAAAAAACCTAAAAAACCAAGCATCCTCGGAAGTTTCTCTTCCCCTTCCCCGCCACGGCTTCTCCCCTCCCCTTGGATCAGCCCCACAGCCAACAGCAATGATAATTTGGGGGGGGTGGGGGTGTTATTTAATTTTTTGGGGTGAAAAGGAGCAATTGTTTTAGCTGGGGTACGGGGTGGGAGCCGGCGCCCCGGAGCGGAGAGCTGCCCTAGATTTGCAGGGTGGCTGTAATTGCTGCAGTTTGGGGAAGAAGTGAAACTGGGATGGGCTAAAACTGCAAAAAAGGCTTTTTTTTTTTTGTTGTTGGTTTTTTCTAAACTTGGAGCAACCCCGTGACGCTTCTCGCTGCCGCAGCCGCCCCGACCGTCCCTATCCTCTGCGCCGCCGCAAAACCCCCCTTCAGTGCAGGATGGGGCCCCTCGGAGGTGCTCACCCCGCTCCCGAGGGTGCTGCATCCCATTTGGGATCCTCCAGGCTTCACCCATCGGCTTTGCTGGGAGCAGCATCCCCATTTTCCCCCTATTTTCCCGCCTTTTGCTCAAATTAAAGGGATAAAATGCTCAGGGCATCCTCCCCCCCTCCGCTTTTTTTTGTTTTTCCAGTTCATCTTTCTTCACCACCGGCCGCGACGATGAATCAGCCGCCATCTTGCGCCCCGTTTCCACCCGTGACGCGCTGGCTCACCCCGCCGTGTGCCGGGCCGGCAGCTCGAGGAGGGGGAAACACCCCTTAGCGCTCCCCCCAAAGCTCAGCTTATCTTTTTAAGCCGCCTCCTAGGCTGTTTCGGAGGGAGCCGGTCACCTCGGCCGAGCCGGTTCAGCTCACCGATCCGGCAGAACTGTCCCCGTTTTGTGCCGACGGGGTATTTTGCCAGGGAAACAAGCAGAAACAACCCCCTTTTTCCCCTTTTCCATGCGTTTCTAAGACCCCGCAGGTTAAATCGGGCCGGAGCTGCGTGTGCGCATCCAAAATCCGCATCCCAAGCGGATTTAACCTGGCCCGGTGCTGGCTCTCATCCCCCTGATGTGGTATTTTTCTCTAAAAAGCATGAATTTTGCAGCGGGGAAAGAAGAACACAGCTACCGGCGAGGCTGGAGATGTCCGAGACGGCCCCGCCGGGCTGGGCTTTGCCCGCTGGGACGGTGACCGCGCCACCCATCCCTGTCCCCAGCCCTGACGGCTCCGCTCGCTCTCTTCCCCGCAGGTATCGGGGCCTGACGCTGGTGCTGACCTTCCTCTGCTACACCAGCTACCACCTCTCCCGAAAACCCATCAGCATCGTCAAGGTTAGCTCCAACCTCGCCCCAACGGCGGGGAGAGGGGAGGCGGGGGGCCCCGAGCATCCCCGTTTCACCCCTTCGCTCTCCCCGCAGAGCCAACTGCACCCCAATTGCTCGGCGTTGGGGCCGAACCCCCGCAACAACTCCAACAGCAGCACGTGGTGCAGCTGGGCGCCCTTCGGTAAGGCTGAGCCCCGCTCCGGTCACCCCCAAAACTTACCCTCGTGGAGACGGGGGTCCCCCTCGTGCCCTACGCCTGCAGGTTTTGGCAGGGGGTTGGCTCTTCGTTAGGCACCCAGAGGTAATTAAGCGGCGTGCGTCTGCCCTGTGCTCCCGGGCCAAAGGGCAGCGGCGGGGGGGGAAATCGGAACCGGGGCTCAACGCCGATGGCACCCGGCCACGCGCCCAGAACCCCCGCACCCCGGAGGGTTTTGGGGACGAGGACGAGGCAGCGGGGAGGGAAAACAAGATGGGGGCCAGGCTGACGCGGCCCTAATGTTTCTTTTCCAGATGGGGACAACTACAAGGAGCTTTACGGGGCGCTGGATAACGCCTTCCTGGTGGCCTACGCCATCGGGATGTTTATCAGGTACTCAGGTCCTTTGCACCTTTTTTCCTCCACGCACCAGTTGGCACCAGTCCGCCGGGAAACTGGTTTCCATCGGGATGGGGTCGTGCTAATAGCAAAGCGCTGGGATCCGCTCGGGATTCAAGGACTGGCTCGGTGCGATAACACCCGTCGGTGGCATCACCCGTGACAGCTCCTGTCCGCGCTCTTCCCTCTCTCCGCAGCGGCATTTTCGGGGAGCGCCTCCCCCTGCGCTACTACCTGTCGGGGGGGATGGTGCTGAGCGGGCTCTTCACCGCGCTCTTCGGCCTCGGTTACTTCTGGGACATCCACGTCCTCTGGTACTTCATCATCGTACAGGTGCGGCCAGGCTGGAGGATGCCCAGGCTCTGGATTTTACCGTCACGGCCTCATCCCGGTTTTTTTGGTGGCCATCGGGGTGGCCCAGTTTCCGAGCGGAAGAACAGCGGGCATTTCCACTCCCCGCAAAACCCGGTCGTGGGCGCCGAAACCGCCGGGCGCGCCCGTCTTGCCAAACCAGCCGCCTGCCCTGCTCGGCAACACCAGCCGCTCCCAATTTAGCCACGGGAATGATGCAAACGGCTCCGGGGTTGCCCCGGCAGGGAAAAAAAACCCCAAACCGAGTGTTTTTTCGACATTTTGGGATGGGGGTGGCTATTTTTGAGCCCGGCTACCACGGGTGAAGTGGGCGCTTGCCGGGTGCCGACGCTGCCGCGTGATGCTGCCTATCTCTTGCCAGGTCTGCAACGGGCTGGTGCAGACAACCGGCTGGCCCGCCGTCGTGGCGTGCGTCGGGAACTGGTTCGGGAAGGGCAAGTGAGTGTTTCTCCAGCGTGTCCCACCCCGCTCCTGGTCCCTGTTGGTCCCGGCGATGCCGACCCCGGCTCTGTCCCCGCCAGGAGAGGTTTGATCATGGGCATCTGGAACTCGCATACCTCCGTCGGCAACATCTTAGGGTCGCTCATCGCCGGCGTCTGGGTTTCCTCCGCCTGGGGCCTGTCCTTCATCGTGCCCGGCATCATCATCGGCGCCGTGGGCATCATCTGCTTCTTCTTCCTCGTGGAGTGTGAGTGGTGCGATCCGGGCCGCGGCAGACGCCTGGCCTAACGCCAAGATCAGCGGGACCGCAATTGTTCTCCTTACCCGTCTCCAAGTGGTTTTGGCAACCCCAAATACTCATTTCCAAGCTTGTGGCAAGCAGGGACGGGGACCCGACCAGCACAGAGAAGCTCAGCGTCCTCTGGGGTCACCCCGGCGGGCTCAGCCCCTGTGCCGCTCGCTCCTCTCAGCCTGGCTTTCTAGGAAACATTTGGGAAGCCCTTTGGGATTTGATCAGGGTTTTTTCCTGCTGGGAAGGGGGTCACCGGCGATGCAGCCCAGCCCCGGGGGGTTCCCAGCCCCACGTTTCTCCCCCGCAGTGGGAGATGCCGGAGGAGGAGCGGGGCTGGTCCGGGCTCTCACGGGATCTCCTTCCTCCCTGCAGATCCCGAGGACGTCGGCTGCAGCCCCCCTCTGCATCACGTGAGTCGCGTCGGTTCCTACCGGCCTTGTCCTGGGCTGGGTGGTCGCTCAGTTTACAGCGAAACAACCGGGGCGTCGGGTCATAACATCAGAAATTAAAGCGATGTTCGCTTATCGCAGAGGATGCTCGTTGCTATTCCGGTGTGAGCATCCCGTGGGTCGCATCCCGGCTGAAATCTGATGTTTCGGCCCCTTCCAGCAACCAGAGCCACATCTCCTGCCTTTGGCTTGCTTTTAGATGGCTTCTGATGAGGAGGATGCTGGAGGGGTGACCTCCACCGAGAAGGATCCCGAAGCGGTCACCTCCAACGAGGGGCCGCTGAGCATCTCGGGCCAGAGCAGCGCGGATCGCTCCGACAGCCCCAAGGAGCCAGCCGAGGAGCCCAAAGCCATCAGCTTCCTCGGGGCGCTCCGGATACCCGTGAGTCGTGAGATGCCCCTCGCATCGGGACGGGGATGGAGGAAGGAGCAAAGCCAGGGAGGTCACCCCATCCACGGGGTGCCCACAGGGCGGAAAATTGGGGAAAAACAAGCCCCCCATCCGGAGGAGGTTGGGAGAAGGAGGCTCCTCTGCTGTCTTCTCTCCTCTGAGGTCTTCTCTCCTCCCAGGGCGTGGTGGAGTTCTCCCTTTGCCTGCTCTTTGCCAAGCTGGTGAGCTACACCTTTCTCTACTGGCTGCCCCTCTATATCGTGAACGTGGGTGAGTTTTTGGGGATGGCGAGGCGGGAGCGAGCCTGGCAAGGGGAACATCTCTTCACCCTTCCCCTCTCCCTCGCAGCTCATTTCGGTGCCAAGGAAGCCGGGGACCTGTCGACCCTCTTTGACGTCGGGGGCATTTTAGGTTTGTCACGTACCGGGGGGTGGATCGGGGAGGATTTGGGGGCAATCCTGGCCTTGAGGGAAAGTCCCCTCCCCGGGAGGGCTTTGCCAGTACCACCGTCTCGTTCCCCGGAGCACCGTAGCCAGGTTTATTCGGCAGCCGTAACACTCAGCAGGCAGCAAACGCCCCTCGCTTCTGTTTTGCCCGCCAGGCGCCCATCGCAACACCTTTCCTTGGGTCTCGCTTGCTCAGGCGCTCCTTTTTCTTAGATAAATAACCCATTTTTGCAAGCATGGAAGGGACCAGAGCTGCGTGCAGGTGTAGGGAGGAAACCATCTGCAGGGAGAAAGCGGTGTGGATAAAGCAAAGCTCTTCACTCTGATATTACTACATTTAATCTTGGGGGCATCTCGCTGAAAAGATGGGGGATGAGAGCATCACAGCGCAGCATCCCGTCGGATTTTGGGTTAAGCCAGGGCGAAGGTTTGCTGCTGGGGCGGCGCGACCCGATACCTGCGACTCCTTTTTGCAGGGGGGATTTTTGCCGGCCTCATCTCCGACTACACCGGCGGCAGAGCCACCACGTGCTGCGTGATGCTGGTCGTCGCCGCTCCCGTGGTGCGTTGTCACACGGGGGGGGGAAGAAAAAAAAACAACCCGTCACGAGGGTTTCCTCTCCTCCGGCTCCTTTGAGTCACGGCCACCTTCCTCTTCCCAAGCGCCCGGGATGAGCTGGTCACGCACTGGGCTGAGACGAGAGCTGGGATCGCTCCACGTGCCCAGATGGTTCCCGGGGTGGACATCCAGATCTGGGGGCTGGGAGGGGATCGCGTAGTCCTCGACAGCTAAAAAAAAAACCAACCCTTTAATGGTGTTTTTTTCCTCCCTCCTGCCATAACCCCGTTCGGTCTTAAAGCCGGTCCAGCTTTCATCTCTTTGCTTTGCATCCCGGGAGCCCCTGTGCCGATGGCCTCCTGCTCCACCGGCGCTTGGCTGGGACGTCCTTCCCAAGCACCTGCACGAAGCTCGTTTGGCTTTGCTGCCGCAAAAACGCGGCTAATTAGCTGTAATCCAAGCCTGGCCGGCTCTGGGTCCTGAGCCTCTCCCCTCCAAATAAGCTGGCATGCGCTGAAAAGCGGAGGCCGCATCACGTCCGCGTCCCCTGATAGCGCCGGCGGGGCAAATTACCGTCTGGCTTCAGCCGGCGGGGGGGCGCGCGGGCCCTAAAACGCGGGCGCACCCCCTTTTTCCCGCTGC